TTCTTTCTTTCTTTCTTTCTTTCTTTCTTTCTTTCTTTCTTTCTTTCTTTCTTTCCTTACTCACTCACTCACTCACTCACTCACTCACTCACTCACTCGACTTATCCCCGCCCATCTCCCCCCAATGGGGGACTCTGGGTGGTTTACATCAAATTAAAACAAATACATAATTAAAATTTATAAAATTTATAAAAAAGAAAAACACATTTACACAAATGGAAGGAAGAAAGTCTTACCCTCATCCTTGCAAGAGAATTAAAAAAGAGAGTGTGGAAAGAAATAAAGAAATATGCAGTTACTATTTTAAGATGTTTATAGTAATAACATTCCAATTGCTTGTATATGGAATGCCTATAATTTGCTGACTACTGCCTATTTTTTGATGATACTCAGACTGTTTATTGAGCAATAGGATAGTCTTAAGCAACTATGTTGAAAAGAATATGTACATAAAATGGGTGGTACTTGTAATTATTTTATGGCAATTTACTCCATAACAAAGGAAAAGAAGTTTGATGTATCTAAGTCAGTATGTATGTATAGTCTGAATTGTGAGGATTGCCAAATTATCTTAATTTGGATATAAGCATTTTTTCTTTTTCCTATCAGAAAAATGCAAGACCTGTTGTTGGGAATAATACTTTAATTATGAATATATAAAATTATACTGCAATATAAACATCTTTTAGGCTTTGCAACATTGCAAAAATAAGGGTGCATGCTTAAATTTATATAAGCATTTTTTCTTTTTCCTATCAGAAAAATGCAAGACCTGTTGTTGGGAATAATACTTTAATTATGAATATATAAAATTATACTGCAATATAAACATCTTTTAGGCTTTGCAACATTGCAAAAATAAGGGTGCATGCTTAAATTTATACATTGCTGAAAAGGCAATTTTAGACTACCATTTTCAAGGGTCAAGCTACACAAAAAAAGATCCAGCTTTCAAAGTAGTTTGGAAGATGTGGTATATTATGTTTTGTAGCCACCTAAATTTGGTAGAGCTTTTAAGCTGTAGCAGCCTATGGGGGAACATGTGGTGTGAATGAGACAGGAGTAAGCAAATGGAAGGTGCCTGGTAAAAGCTTTAGTGGGAAAGATTACAGTAGATGATGTCCAGCTTCTAACAATTGTACTAAATGTTTTCTTTTTGTTTTACATAGCCCTTTTTACGGAGAAGACTTTTACTGTGAAATTCCACGGAGTTTTCGTCATCTGTCATTTTACATTTTTGATAGAGACGTTTTCCGCAGGGATTCAATCATTGGTATGTATTTCTGTGCTAGTTCAATTTTAAATTCAGCTATAATCTTAATTATTTCCTCTAATTGAAGAAGCTCTGCATGTTCAGACATCTGTCAACAGCAGTACTGAACATCAATAAGAAAAAAAAATATTTTCTTTTAACTGTAGCATGGACATTTCAACATACTGTTCATCGTGGTTGAGTTAGGGTTATCTTCTTAAATAACTATATGAAATAACAACAATAAAGAGGATAAAATTCCTTCAAAATCAAAATCTGCTAAGTTGTACTTCTGAGTGAGATGAAAGAGGCTTTTCAAAAAAGACCTCTCTTCTGAAAAGAATAAAACAGTTTATCTGAACATGCTATGAACTAATAGATAAAGAGATCCATCAATCCTGGTTACTGCTGAATGGATGCATTAATTTAAACTTTGGTTTTTGTACACTTAAAACATTCTATGTTGTAGTCCGAATGTTTCACTTGGTTTGCAACTTAAATAAACAGTGCATTCTATTTTGCTGACTTTTTGAAAACATGAAGAAACATAAGGTTTTGAAAAATTTCGGGAGAGTGTTTCCTTTTTCTTTTTTTGGCAAATGATATGCCTTGGTGGTCTTCTAGTTCTCAGATTGTAAGTGCGAAGTGCGTAAAATATTAAATTTGGGGTGGTTGAGAATGGGAGAAGCAAATACACCAATGTAATTGCAAGACAATGAAAACAGAAGGGAATATAAAATATACTGCAACAGAATGAAAAAGGCAAAATGTATTCTGTCAAAAACTGTTGCCATGATAGAAAAAGATCAGCCATAAATATGGTCATCAGCAAGTCCAAATATTTTGATCTTCTTTTTGCAGCATGGGGATAGAAGATGCTGGTGTTTTTAAAAATTAGTTTTCTTAAACATAGTTATTTGAATATAGTTCACTGTTTTGCACAATATGCTAAGCTGTAAACCAAGATTTATAAACTGAAGCTCACACAGCACACTAAAACAAGCCAAGCACATCACATTATATCTTAATGTGAACTCAGTTCATTGAAAGGTACAAGCTTCAAGGAAATCAGCAGAGGTTCCTTTAGATTGTGGATACTTTGTATTTACAGGTAAAGATAAATGATGCTATTTTCACACTTAAGAAAAAGAGTGCCCAGTTGCTGGAAAGGATAATATGTACTGGTATGGCCTACAACATTAGTTGTCAGATTTCAGACCAATGGATTCTACTTTGATTTTTATTTGAAGGCCAAGATTTGCCAACCAGATCCTCATGCAGAAGCCATGCGCTAAACAATCCAAAGCTCAGGAGTTTGTTTTCAGTATTAGAACTTCTAAACTCTCTGTGAAAAACTTGATTATTGGTCCCTTTTACCATTCTTTTTGTAATTCTAGCAGCAGAAGTAATTTAGTCAGAAATATTTGGGGGCTGTAAATTCTGTGTTCAGCACTGGCCCCTACTGTACCACTAATGACAGTGTGTCAAATATTGTGCCTTATCCTTCAGTCTGCCTATGGTACACTAAGCATTTGTGATCGGCAGTTTTGGAGACACCATATTACATACCTTTTGGCAAGTTGGACCTGACTAACAATTAGGTAGCTGTTATAAAATGCTTATAGAAGGGACCACACAGGATGACATACTGTTCTTCACATGGGTGGACGGGGAGATGTGACTGCTCCAGTAAGTGATGGGAAGATAAGTAACTTCTCTGCAGGGTTTCCTTGAGGAACATTGAGAATTTCATCACATGCTGTTCCTTCTGGGGCCTTCTGGCCCCGTCGCAAATCATGCCACAGCAGCTCCAACAAAAACAAGTTTAGGGGAAAATAAATAAAAGGCTATTTGGGGTCGCCAGATACATTTCAAGAAAGATGAAGATTTTGGAGTAGACTACATTTCTATCTCCAAATGATAAATGTGAATCAGAATAGTGTTAAAGAAATAAGATTTAATGCTCCGGGCCCCCAGTGGAAGGTGAAGGCAGCTTGTTTATTCCTAAGGAAGTAAAAACAGATATTCTCCTCTTTCTTACTTAAAATAGCCCAAAGGTGATTTATATACATTTCTGGGACAGACAGATGGAATTGAATCATGATTACAAAAGGAGCCAGGCAAGCAGAAAACAAAAGGAGTGAGTCAGGAGTACGTCTCAGAAGCAAAAAACAAGGAGTTTAAGGATTAGCCTGTTTCCTTCTCCAGCAGCAGAGATGCTGTTAGGGATTTCAAGGCATTGTAGTGGGGAGGAAAAAGTCAAGCAAAGGAAAAAAATGGGTGGGGAGGTGAGGTTTTTTAGGAAGAGAGAAAAGAGTGCATTCATTTAAAATATTCCTGTACAGTCGTATGGCCTGGAATAAAGTTCCTTCTCCAAATTCAGTTACAATTCAGAATATGTTTTGCTTATGTTTTTATTGGCTTCTGCAAATCTCCCAAGACAGCACATAGGTAAAACGAAATAGATTTTTATTAAGGCGAGAAAACATAATACACAATTTAGCCTCAGGCCTTTTTCTTCCTAATGGTGGGATTGTACGTTGGGGTTAGCCTAAGTGGACTACAGAAGCATCGTTAAATATTCCCTGCACACTTCTCATACTTCCATGGGTGTTCCTGGGGGAGCAACAGAGCCTGGATGCCACTGTGCAAATGCTGCAACGTGTGTATACCTGTCTTAGACATTGGGAGACCAGAATGCAGTGGCAGCATTGATGCAATTAGGTCATCACGCTTTATTGCAGATGCCATGACATGGTCACTCCTGGACCTACTGGAAAAATTCCAGAGATCTGTTGTTTAACACTGGTCTCCCTTGTACTCCCCTGGCTAAAAATAAACGTTTTAAAACCCAAGTGCTTTTTAATCTTAAAGAGTTCAGATGTATGTGAAATGGTGACATTAGGATATACGTATTTACATATTGGGATTCAGAAAGAAACCAAAGAAAGCCCTTGGGTGGGGGAAAACTCAGTGCGAAATGTATTTATTTATTTGTCACATTTATAAGGCTGCCTGATCCCATCAAGATTCTGGGCAGTGTACATTTAAAAAAAAGAAGAAGAAAGAAACAACATAACAAGAAAAGTACAGTGTGTGTCCAGAAGAAAAAAACAGAGGAAATAGTTGAAAAGCTGCTTCCTGGGTCCTATTTTTTATTCAGTACATTCAATTTTATATACTAGTATTACAAGGCTGCGTTAGATACCAGTCACCAGGCTTTGTTTACAAAAACCTTCCAAAGGGTTTCTTCTTTATCTGTGAAACATAAGGCTGACTTCTCTGTCTACATATTTATTAGGGGTTGAAATGGTTGTAAGACCTGTGGCTGTTCTGGGCTGCTTGATTAGAATGTCACTAAGCTGCCTGTTTCCTCTCCTTGGATCTCTATTTTTGTTTTGATGTAACATGCTTGCATAATGCAAAGTCAGTCACCATGACGATCCCAGATATTGCTGATTATCATTTCCTGGGTGGTAGTGTGATAGCCAAAAGGAGAAACATTTTGCCAATCTACCTATATGTTGTCCTTCTGTGTATGGCACTATTATCCAGGATGGATGGGTGGAGTGAAATTTATCTGCCTGCCTGAGACCAGCCCTCTAGGTGACTTACGAAGTCAGTTTATGTGATAATAAATAGAAAACAGAATCCCAAACTTCTAGGTTACTGCTGATGTCCATTGATATAATTAAAGATCTCTTGACCTTCCTAGATGTTTCAACAAATTGATCTTGCAATGACTGATTGAGGTAGCTGGGAGAGTTTGCCCACAAATTATTCAATAAATGACAGGTATGATATAGAGGGCATATGCTACAGACATATGCTACAGACACAACTTCAGTGTTTGAATATCCGGAACAGCAATCTTGGTAAAGTATATTATTATATCTCCCTATTATAACTATTGAAGGCAGGATATCAATTTATACTAATGTAAATGCCCTTATGTGCAGAGCATGACAAATGTAAAAAGTATCCAGGTGCAACCAGGGAGCACCTGTGAGTTCACAGCAGCAAAGAGATAATATTTGCTATCTATCTTTTTGGATATCTGGGTCCAAAACTGTCTGAGCTCTGGGATGTCTTTAGTTGGATGCAAAGAACATATAGCTAGGGGAGATAGCTCACAGTAGGCCAAATCAGAATCTATTTGTTATTTTCAGTAGAGAAGAGTAACTATCAGAGAAAGTAAGCTGCACCAAGAACTGCCCCCAAAATGTTTGTTTTAACCAGGATTTAAGTCGGCTAAGTCTCAAATGGGTGTCAAGAGGTGGGTGGGTGCAAGGTGCAAGCATACATTTGTGGTTGATTGGGGGACGGGAGAATGGTCCTCAGAAATTTAGACTGAAGCAATTCTAAAGTAGCTGCATCTTTATATATCCAGGACCATATAGCAGCAGACTTGCATCCTTAGTTTTAAATAGTTTAATTGCTACAGGCAAAACATTATTTCCCTTATAGCTTGCAGATCTGATGACCTCATTTGGAAGCTTTTTGTGCTCTTGTTCAGCTCACTAATTTGATGGATCCAGGAGATGGAAGTATGGAATTCAATACCTAGGTATTTAGAGTCCTTAATTTGCTCAACTGATCTATCATTAATTTTATACTTGAGAGGAAAGTTAAAGCAGTTTTAGTGAAAACTAAAACCTTTGTTTTGGAATAATTAATTTCTATTTTTTTTCCAAAGACAAAGGGACACTAGTGCATATTGACACTTGAGAAAGCCAATTTAGGATACAGATAAAGCTGCAACATGGTCTGCTTGACATAGAACAGCAATAGGCCGGAGGGTGAGGCCAAGGAAGGAGCAGTACAGTCATTCTGAGAAAGTAAGCAATAGATGAAACCTCTGACTTCTTCCACAGTCTCTCTCAAGGAATTGAATCAGAAGCTAATCTCAATTTGGAAAGCCTTTGAGAAAGCTTGAATGCTTCCCTGATAGTTGGTCTAATATTTGCACTGATCAGCAGTTAAAGAGGTCATTTTGGGGGTTGCTGAAGGCCACATTTTACTTTTATGCAGAAGAAAAGGAGCGATCAAAACAGTGACCCAAACAGGGTACAAATGTGGCACACGCATGGGTGATGCCTGGACTTCTAAGCTTTTTTCTAATATTTGGAGGTTGGGGCTGTTCTCTTATTTTTAACTGTGTCAAGCCTGATGTTTGTGGCAAGTGCATCATTGCTTGGTCAGAGGGAGTCCTGGGCTGTATCCATCACACATACAGTGAATTTCATTTTCCTGGATCTTGGTGCAATGGACTGTGTATGCAGCAGACAAAATTTCTGTCACATTTTACATCCTTTGTGTGATCTCTGTGAGGCCCTTCTAATTCAAGAGTCTTTCCTCAATAATGGACATCTCTCCAAAATTAGTCTGGTAAAATGAGATTTCATGGTATATGGGGGGGGAGGGAGTTCATGAAGTGCAACAGCTGGCTTTCAATTAATTTATACCCTCATAATATAATGCTTATTCTATGATTTTATATTCCAAACTTTATACATAAGTTTTAAATAAGCTTCCCCTAATCAGGTGTATTCAAGATATGATAGAGTATACCTGGATATAATCCAGTTCACTGGATTGGGAAAGGTTGTTATAAATAATGGAGGGGGGTTATGGATTTGCTTCTACTAGTGGGAGTAACCCTCCAGAATATCTACCCCTGGGATTTTCTCACCAAGGAAATGGGAGGCAGCTTTCACTCATTTCCATCTGTTTGGAAGGTTGAGGAATCCCCTGAAACATTGGGAAGGGTTTAGAGAAGGACTGAAATCTTGAAAATGGCTTCTTTCTTTGCCCAGTGGGATACTCCACTAGATTTCAGCCCTGTATATGAATGGAAGGTGATCCTTCATGCATAGATGTCTAATTAGGATCCAAACGATTAACAGTGTAATATATCTTCTCTGGAGTAATTTAATGTATTTAATCCTAGGAAAGTGGATATTGGATTCAATCACTCACACAGGTTTATATATAAAATGACTTCAGTGTTTTTATGTTTAGGCCTTTGCGAAGTCTGTTATGTAAAATAATATGACTTGTATTGTTATTTATTATCAGGACACTATTTATGAAAGTATTTTTAATGGTTCCTTTTTAATATAAAGAAAAATTTAAAGAGAAGCTTTAATGGAATATTTAGACATTGCCTGTCTGAACTTGTTGGAGCTTGGAAGCTAAATGGGGTTCAGCCTGGCTGTTATTTGGATGGGAGGCCTCCAGAGAATACCAAGATTCTAGGCTAGATTGAGAAGATGAAAAACATCTTGGAAGTTGTACTGTGGCCAAAAAAATGATGCGGCCCTGTCCATGAATGCATCAGGAGCTGAAGCCAACTTCAAAGAGACTTGGGTTGACTTGACTATGCTATATTTGAAAGCGGCCTTGAAAGAGCTTTAGGCCAGACATTGAGAACTTAGAGAATAGTTCAGCAACAGAATTCTTAGCAGCCGCAACAAACAGTTCGGCCTCTGTGACCTTCAGTTAAAAACAGGAAACATGCTACATCATCTGATCGTTTAGCACTTATCTGAAAGAATAAAAGAATGCTTATACTGGGTGCCCTTCATGTGACAGATGCACAATTATTTCTGGCCTAATTTACAAACTAGGAGGACAGATGAGATGCCGAAGCTTTCCCTTATGTAGCAAATATAAATCCATAATTCAGTCATGAGAATTTCTTAAGCATAATGTTTAGGTAGGCTGGTACTAAACCCTGGGTTCAACAGAACGTTACTATGGCATGAATATTGCCCAGTGGGGACATACGCTGTTGGTTGGGATCTGCAATTTACTTTTTGTCACAGTAGTTAATAGCCACGTCGTGTGAAAGCTATGCAAGGCAGCCTCTCCGATCTTCCAGTTTGCCTTTCTTGTTGCAGCCTTCCTTCCCATGCTGTTTCAGAGAGTTTATTAACTGGCAGAAGTAGCTTTCAGGCTGAGGAAAATCCAAGGCATTGTAAGCAACTGGAATAATGTGCCCCTGACCCACCTGTCAAACCCTTTTCCGAGTACTCAACAAAATTTCTCAGTTGACTTGCGTCCTTTGATCACGTGGGTAGTCTCAATGAAATTTATAAAAAGGGAAGTTCATTTTTATGTAATTAAGTAGCACTAGGTGAAATGTTTCAAATAATTTCAACATACTTGAAACTTCTTTCATTTTGTATAGGCAGTTTTTCAGGGGCACTTAGACTTTGGTGGTATCAAAGTCATTCTTACTGTCACTCTTTTTTTCTCTTTCACACTTTCTTTCCCTGCATTCTAAAACAGAGACACTTTTTAAAAAGAGGAACTATAAAAGCCATGGTCTCTAATCCCAGCTGAAGAACTGTTGTTAGAGATTAAATAAGATGTATTTGGATGGCTCACTTTACAGTAAGCTAACCAAAGACAGTTTGGTGTTAACAGCTTTTCCCCCCAAGAACTTGATGTGCAGAATTATTAGTAGACTTTGTTGATTGCATAATTGCTCTTTAAACATTGCTTGAACAGTTATTATCTAAACTGAAGTTTGCACTTTTTGCTCTGCAGAAAGCTTTTCTTTTAAAAAAACAACAACTGGATTGTTTTAACTAAAATATATTTTGTAACCTTCCCCAATGTGGAATCCTGAGAGCACATTGGGATTTTAAATTTTGGATTTCCAGCCAACATGGATTTTGGCTTGCAGTTATGGGAATTGCTGTTGTAATATATTTCAAGGTAGAGAAGGCTGCTATATAAAATATTTATATTCATCCATCATGATACGTTCAATTTTATGTATTTTCAGGAAAAGTAGCAATACTGAAGGAAGATTTGCAGAAATACCATAATCGAGACACTTGGTTTCAACTGCAACATGTTGATGCTGATTCAGAAGTACAGGTGAGATTGTCTCTTCCGTGGTCACTATAATTATGGTGGTTGTAATAATTAAAATAGAATCGTTGTTGGATCCCATTATTTTTGTTGCTGAAAATATTATAGATAGATGTAACTGCATGGAGGATGTTTCAGGCAGTGCCTGTATAATCACATCAGTACATGTATTCCAAGAAGCTAATTTTATAAAAAGTTGCTGTGTTGTAATAAACATATTTTGACTTGGCATTGGTATCAGCGGAAACCACCATATTTCCTTCCGAGTGGAAAGAGGAAATATTATAAAGTCTCAGATAATTTGTTTATTTTTGTTAAATAGGAGCTATTGCTTGCAAGTTATATTCAGTATTATATAGAATAACATTTGGAATTTACTTTATAAGGCTATCAAGTGAAATTAATTCACCTGATACTGAGACAGATTCGTGTAGATGCTAGACAAATCTGCTTTTTCAGGAGGGGGTTGGAAGTATACAAACCCTCCAAAGTCACCCTTGTCTCACCTGAAGATGGTAGAGCATCCAGAAGAGTCTTCAAAGATTATCTCAGGGCCCATATCCAAGCAGAAGATAGAGATATCTAGTCTTGATATAATGGGAAATTATGGTAAGATCTACAATGTCAGAACAGACCAGGAATCAGTCCACAGTTAGATCCTTGTTTATTTAACAATTATTTAAACAAACCATAATTCCCTGATTTCAGTTATGTCAAGGCACAGTGGGTTTTTAAATATATTTCCAAAGGATAATAATAGGGCAAGACCATATTATGTTTTAATGCACTCCCCCTTCATTTTACATTTCAGGCATACTGAGGTTGATAGCTAATCCTTTTAAAACATTTTTGAGGTGTGCATTAAACATGAAAAATATGTATTTTACAGAATTAATCTCATCTTAAAGTCAACAGATTTAATATTCTCTAAAATGTTTAGCCATTGGGTTGTTAATCTGGGGTATGCGAACTTTTGATACCAAAGACCTTGGAAACAATTAAATTCTTTAAAGTTTGTCTCTTATTTAAAATCTTTTCTTTTTTCCTTTGATTTATTTAAACACCAGTTTTTCTATGTGCAGTTTTTTCACTTATCTTGTCTTTAGTAGTTTCATTGCATATGAAAGGCTTAGATGTTCTTCCAAGAGGAGACAGACATTTATTAAATTGGGAAATTTAAAATACGAAGATTTTTTTTTGTTTTTTAACTCATACTCTTCAATATGAGAAAGCTGTTTTAATCTAGAAGATGGGTTGATCAAGTATAGATTAGTAAGAATTTAAAATTTGTTAGGGGTGTAGTAAACTTGATTAACAAGTTCTCAAAATTTGTAGTGAAACAAAAATATTGGTGATCAAAACAATAGTATTGTGTTTATTAATTATTATGGCCTTGCTAAGAATCATATGGATGTTTATCCTAAATGTTTTGAATACTTTTAAGTATTAAAGTACTAGTTTAGCTATGGATCAGATCATTATGGCTGGAGACATTGTTCTATTTTTAGATACTTTATTAGATCATAATATTGTTCCAGCTAAATTTAGTATTTATACATGGAAAATGTTACACACTTATGTTGGAGTTTTATTTGGTTAATATAAGACAACTTTTAAATCCTTCACAAAAAGAGTACACTTTGTTTCCAATCCTTATCACACTTGTTCCTGACTATTTCTTAGTATCTCCAGTGGCTTCTGTAGCAAACTGCAATGGTACCAAAATGACCCCAAGCATGCAATAATATAATTGCACAAATGCTGCATTTAGACACTTGCATTGCACATTGTTTGAGCTGCACTATCACGGCTGCAGCTCATGAAACCTCATACCTTTTAATAACATTTGTTAGTCAGAAAAGGGTCTACCAGACTCCTGATTTTTAACTTGACTAAGCTGTTTAACTTGACTAAGCTGTTTATCTTTCATCTCTTCAGGAAATAAGGGACGATGATAAATCAATGAAAACATGAAAAAGTTTGGTCCTGATGGTTGTTTGATTAAGTGGGATTATATTGGGTTTTTTTATCCTCTGTGTTAGAGATTTATAATAATGCTTTTTGAATAAAGTTTTTCTGGCTTCTTCTAATGTATCTTACATAATTGGGATTCTTTTGCCAGATTTTATTGTTCAAAGGCATGCAGGCTAGTGATGGTATTAGCTTTGATTGTCCATCTTGCGCAGTATGGTTTCATAAAAGGTCAGCAAGCTTCAAATGTATTTATTTACTTATTTATAAGGTCTATAAGAAGCTTCAAATGTATTTATTTACTTAGTTATAAGATCTATAAGACCACCCCTCTCACAATTTGTGACATTAGATTACTAATAGATATTTTAGATATAAATTCAGGAAAAATTAAATGGTATTGAAGGATGCCTTTGATATGAGGCAGTTCAAATTTGGCGAGCAAATGTTGGCCAAATATGTATTTCTTTTGTTACTAATTGGATTAAAATATGCAATTCTGATTCATTTGCCAAGTTTATTACAAATAGAATTATTTCTTCATCTATTAAAATGCTTCAGGGATGTCCTTTAATTTAATATGGGGACAATTGGCCTGTCTTAACAAGCAATCAAAGAACTTTGGGACATAAACAAAATTTTATATGTATGAACAGTTATTATATGCTAATGATATGGTATGTTTTATTGATAATTATGAATTTTATATACCAAAATGTTCTGATTTAGTATAACAGTTTGGTGAATTACCAAGTTACTTAGTTAATTGGAGTGAGACTCATATACATCTTACATACTGAAATGTGTTAAAAATTGGACCTTCACTTAGTATTTGAAGTATATGAAAAATCTTGGAATAATTATCCAAGAAAATTATCTTTATTTGTAGAGATAATTATTTCTGATTAATACTGATATTTTGAGTCCTTTGGAAAAGAAAGCAGCTGTAAAAATGAATTTAACTACTAGATTGATATATGTACCCAGAGAGATTCCCATATTAATACCTTTAAGGTATTTCAAGCATATTGATACTTTATATAGGAAGTTTATATAGGAAGGAAACATTCCTAGAGTTCCCTTATCTAATTTAGGGTTACCATTTGATGATGGAGTTTAAGTTTCCTGACTTTTAGTTTTACCACTGTACATATATTCGGACTTCTATTTCTGTATGAAATCCAAGTGATCTAGTCAAAAAACCATTACATACCCTTGATATCTTGGAAGGGGCTTGGTTCTTCTTTAGTCTTTTCAATCTAACGGAATGTTGGACATAAATTATGGATTCTCTGTCAGCCAGCACGATAACTCTCTAAACCTGAACAGAACGGAATCAAATTTGGTGTAGGAGGAGAACCTATTAAAGAAAGACTGAGTTAAAAATGGCCTGGAACATGTCCAGGGCTCTGGGGTGGGGGGGAGCTCCAATGCATCCTTATGGGAGGGAGAATTGCTTAGAATGTTGGTGCCTCCTCTATTCTAAGCCCCTCTCCTTCCTGGCCATGTGATCCTGGATGGAGTTATTATTAAGGTTCTGGAAATAATTGCAGAAGCTAGGCTCTGCATACCTTCCCAATCTTCTTTAATGAAGTTTCTACTGTATTTCCAGCATTAACAGCTGCAAGGTATATTTGGAAGAGGTTGGGATAGGAAATTTTGACTTTTATTCACATGATAAGGCCATGGAATAATATAAAATTTAGGATAAACTATGTCTCAAAATTGCTGGTAATTTTTTTTAAATTTATGGTCTAATAAGGATACTTTAGATTAGCTAATTGCTAATCAAGTTTTTTCAAATGATTTGACTTGTTTTAAATGGAATTTGGATTGTCTAAAACTGAATTGTTTGATTTCATTTCTGATTTCACAATTTGCATTAGCATCTAAAAATCTTGAATTGCAATCACCATTGAAATATATTTTGGTTTATTCCAAATACACTATATTTTTATAGATAATTAAAGAATATTGTTAAAAATATATTTAGGTTTAAATATCAGATAAATTGCAAGAAATATAAAGCAGATTTTTTCAATAAATTGTTTCTCCCTTGCTATCCTAGCCTGCTCTTTTTTAACTTGCCTTCTTTGTCTATTGCACTGTTAGAATTTAAATCAGAATATCCTAGGAATAATTTTATTTACACTGCTTTATAAAATGCTGTGTTCTGGTACATCAAAATAGCCCTGTCAGCTATTATTTTTCCAGCCTATGTAATGGCTATTAATACATGTTAACTTGGACTTGGACTTAGCTAATTTAACAGCAGGAGTAGAAAGCAAACACATCGTTCATAGTATTTATTTCCTGTGGGACATGGAGACTTTCTTTGTCTTGTGAAGTGAATCAATATTTATATGGCCCTTAAGTGTTGCCAATAATCACTGTACTGTTGATACACAATCAGATTGTGGGACTTGCTTTCTTGGAGTCTGCTGATTATTTATGACTCCTTCTATTTTTGCAGTAACTTACAAAAAAAAATACTTAATTAGGGACATGGACTTTAAATACTAATTATATATGCTCTACTATTTTTAGGCAATTTATCACTTCCTCTATTTTTGCTTTGTAAAAGCCAGCTACTTTATGTTTGGAGCTTGATTATAAATATTTACTTCAAGTGGTTTGCTTTATGTTTTATTCCTGTATTTTATGGTTTTATCTCTCTGTGTTATGAATTGCAGGGACAGTTTTATCCTTGAGCAGTGTAAAAATGTTGATAAATAAATACATAAACATATGTATTGTTTATTTAGTTTTAAAATGTATAAGTTGCCCTATGGGTGGTTTTTAAACCATTTTAAAATGTCTCTAAAATGTTTAATCTAAAAACAATGGTTTAAACGATGTAATGTGCAATTTGCAATAATTTATAGAGAGCACAGACTAAAATAATTGAAATAACAGGAACTCAAAAATCTCCACTGCAGTCTATCACAGCATTATAATATTAAAATATCTGAAAGACTAACAATGTCTTTAGTGCTGAAAAAATAATAAAGTACCACCCACCTTAACTATCACTG